GGGACACCGCAGAGACACAACCTCTGCAGGATGTCTCTGTGGGTTGTCGTCCCAGTGGGGCCTCACATACGAGGAGCCGTTCAGCTTTACTTGCTTATTATTTGGCAGATTTGAAAACATAAATCTATTATTATATGATGATGTATTATTAAAATTATTATTATTAAATATATATATATAATATATATTATAAAATTATTATTATTATAAATAAATAAATAATAATTATTATTATAAAGTAAAACTTGTCCCAATGTTTTCTGCACGACTCTCCAATCTTTCAGCCCCTCAGCTTAGTTCTTGTTCCCTTGTGCAGCAGCCCATTAAAAACACTCATTTCAATGTGACTTTATGCAGTATGAAGAAATATGCTGTGAAAAGATTTAAATACTTAATGGCTCATTTACATATTTAATCATCAGAAGAAAATTTGTGATAAAAAAAAAACTGATCATCTTAACCTGAGAGGTCTAGTTACAGTTTTTAGCCCGTTCACCTGAGATTGGTGTAATCAGGTGTAATCTGAGAGGCAGCTCACATTTTTCAAATCAATATCAGGGTTCTCGCATTCTCGGGTGATGATGATCGAGTTTGTCTTATCGTTACTGATGTTTAGAGATTTCATCGTGCACACACATCCTGACTGAATCTTCATGCATTAGAGAGAAAAACTTACCTGAGAAGGACGCGGACTCACATCAACCCGTGCGTCTCCAGCGAGGAAAGAAGCAGCTCGCTGCTGAACCCTGAGTATTAATGCTCAGTCCTCACCCATAAACATGCTCGACATGTCAACACGTTTAATGAAACCAGGAGGTCACAGGGCAAGGTCAAAGGCAGCAGGGGTGTCCTCATTTCACTCCCCTGTGCTGGTCCAAGCAGCAGCTTTGCAGGAAGATTATTGTCTTTACATCAGGCCTTGTTTAGGCAGCGTTACCCAGTACAACGTCACTACTTTCATTATGTATCATGAGTCAGATATGAACATTTCAGTGCTCATAGGATCGTCATCCATGCTCCTCTGAGCATCCGGACAGCAGCTTGTCTGATGTGTATGTGCTCTGCCGGGTTGTGTTGCAGAGGGAGTGTGTGTCGCTGCAGGGACGGCGCCGGGCTGCGAGCAGGAAGAACAAAGCTGCTTTCAGACCAGAGGCAGTTTGGATCGTCTGCAGCACAGCTCAGACTAGATTGAGTTACAGCACAGTCACCTCTAAATGTCCCCTCACCACTGTGTGTGTGTGGACGGGTTTTAACATCTTCATGGGGACCAAAGATGGATAGTTTACTATACTTGTGGGGACAAACAGCCATCGTGGGGACCAAAATCCCAGTCCTCGAGTTTGAAGGCATTTTTAGACTCAAAATGTGGTTTTAGTGTCAGGGTTACAATTAGGTTATGGTCAGGTTTAGGGTCAGGGTAAGCGGCTAGGGAAAGCATTATCAATGAGACGATACAAGGATATAAACACTCACACATATGTGTGTGTGTTTAGAAACAGTAAGTGTAGCAAAAACAGTGGACAAATATTAACAAAAATATGATCGTACAACCTTTGTCTAATTTGTCTAATTAGTTCCCTGAGGTGTCTTATCACTTCTATGCTGATGATATTCAGCTCTATTGCTCTTTTAAGCCGATGGAAGTCCATAAACTGTCCTCTTTAATTACATGTTTAGCTTCCATTGAACAGTGGCTTGGTGACAACTACTTACAGTTGAACTCTGAGAAGTCAGAAACATTAATTATTGCCCC